CATTTTTGGACAAGATTGTGGACTTTTATCCTCAACAAGAGCAGCAAGTCTGCAATTTTCACTTTTTTAAACTTGATAATGTGAATTTATATTGTGGTATGCTTTCTGTTGCATTTATTTCTGCTTTTTTGCCTGCTTTCAAATTTGTTGGCTCTGGTGCATTTATGCAATTTATTTTGTCAACTGATATAAAAAGGTTTCCTTATGTGATGTGTGAATGTTAAATGTTACTATGCCAGCAAAATCTAACTGAACAATTTATAGAGCAGCTGTTTATTTGAGATTTATATGAATTATACGTTCAAATCATTTGTATATTCAACATGTAAATCTTCCACCTTCAATAGAGTTGACTATGGTAACAGACATTTTCTTGTTCCAGGATCTCCACAGGTAATTTCAATGCTAGGAAATTCTTATCCTAGTGCTGGAGGTCCACTTTCCCAAAGCCATGTTCAAGCAGTAAGTAACTTGAACTCTATGGGGATGTTGAATGATGTGAATACCAATGATAATTCACCTTTTGACATCAATGACTTCCCTCAACTGACAAGTCGTCCGAGTTCTGCTGGAGGGCCTCAAGGACAGTTGGGTAAGTAAAGATAAATGTTTTGATGCTTGATATATTTGTGCACCCTGTACAATAAAGAATGATATAAACAAAAAAATTTCAGGTTCTTTACGGAAACAGGGTCTTGGTGTTAGTCCCATTGTTCAACAAAACCAAGAGTTTAGCATTCAAAATGAGGATTTCCCAGCTTTACCAGGATTCAAAGGTGTAGTATTGCTTCTATTTTGGAGGTTAAAGTGTATTCTTAGGGAGATGGGTTGTTGAATGAAATTGATACTATCTACTTAGAAAATTCTTCTGGATCTGTATGCATGTTCACTTTCAGAGCATGGCTTTGTTACTCTGTTTTATTATTCTCTGTATTATTTCAGTGCTTGGGCTTTGGTTGGTTTTGATACGTGTATATATGCACCCCTGCTTTCTGTTTCAAGTTAAGTTTCTGTATCATCTGTGATATAGTGAGAATGCTTTATTGTCTCTAAATTTTGCAAAGGAAATAATTACTTTTTAGGTGTAAACCGGATAATCTTTGATTTCTTTGCCAGAAATGAAAACTCTTTTTCTAATTATTTTTTTATTACCTTTGTTTATTTACATAATTCTATCTGAGTCGAAGTTGCTCAATTAAATTCAATATTTGTTTCTTACCATGTTATTTGTGCAGGTGGTAATGCAGATTATGCTATGGATATGCACCAGAAAGAACAACTTCATGACAATGCCGTGCCAATGATGCAATCTCAGCATTTCTCTGTCAGTTACATGTTATAAATGTTTTAGAAATCTTATCTATATACATATCCTTTTATACAATATTGATGGATCCAAAAACTGTTCTCACTACTGAACTTTTCATGACTTCTATCTGCAGATGGGAAGGTCAGCTGGTTTCAGCTTAGGGGGTACATATTCATCACATCGAACACAACAGCAACAGCATGCTCCTTCAGTCAGTAGTGGCAATGTCTCTTTTTCATCTGTTAACAACCAGGATCTTCTCCATCTACATGGATCAGATATTTTCCCATCTTCACATTCAACCTATCATTCACAGGTGTGTATGTTTGTATTCGTCAATGGCAGAACTAGTGTTTTATAATGAATAAGTTCTTCCTGCTGAAAATCAAATTACATGTTTCCTACTAAAGCAAGTATTCCTGACATTCTAGTCGCTTTTGTATTTTGGTTTAGACCAGTGGACCTCCTGGCATTGGATTAAGGCCTCTAAATTCTCCAAATACAGTTTCTGGTATGGGTTCATATGACCAGCTCATCCAGCAATATCAACAGCACCAGAACCAGTCCCAGTTCCGCCTTCAAATGTCAGCTGTAAATCAGTCTTTCAGGGATCAAGGCATGAAGTCTATTCAAACCGCACAATCTACACCAGATCCTTTTGGTTTGCTTGGCTTGTTAAGTGTGATCAGGATGAGTGATCCCGACCTGACATCTCTTGCTCTTGGAATTGATCTTACTACACTGGGCTTAAATTTGAATTCATCAGAAAATCTTCACAAGACCTTTGGGTCTCCATGGTCTGATGAACCAGCCAAGGGCGATCCAGAGTTTAATGTACCACAATGTTATTACGCCAAACAGCCACCTTCTCTACATGTGAGATGTTTACATTATGGTTTATGATTTCATTTCACTATTATTAATCCTTTTCTTTGGGCTAATTTCATATTATTGCACATGATGCAGCAAGGTTATTTTTCCAAGTTTTCGGTGGAAACATTGTTTTACATATTTTACAGGTACCTTTAAAATCTGAATATCACTTGCTTTTTCATTGACTTGCTGCTTGGTATTTTATAATCAGATTAAAAATAATCGTTTTTGCAGCATGCCCAAAGATGAAGCACAATTATATGCCGCTAATGAGCTGTATGCACATCGTCTCCAATCTTTTTTTTTTCTTTCTTTTTTTGAATGATTTGAGCTTTATTTCTATTTCATTTTGGGATTTCTATAATTTGGGAACAAGTACTAGATAAGTGGTTAATTAAATAATGCATGGTTAACACATTAACCGTTTTTTCTTAACCACTTATCTAGTTTCAGTATTTCTGAATTAAAAATATTTTGACAAATTCCTAAATTATAATTCTCTGCAATTGTTTTCCCAATTCAACAATTTCTAACGAGGTAGGGTTTGTTGCTCTCAGTTACAACAGAGGTTGGTTTTATCACAAAGAACATCGTTTGTGGTTTATAAGAGTTCCCAACATGGAGCCGCTGGTTAAAACCAACACATACGAGAGAGGATCTTATCACTGTTTCGAACCAAGCATATTTGAAACCGTCCGCAAGGTTAGTTTTTGTAAATATAATTTGATGTTCTTGAACTCTTCCTCTGCTCCAAAGCTATATTATTTTATTCCCCAATAAATATTGTTCTATTTTTAAGCCTCTAATGTACAACCTCCTTGCAGGATAATTTTGTTCTTCATTATGAAATGTTGGAAAAGAGACCACATCTGCCTCAACATTGAGGAGGAAACAAAAACCTTTATTGTAAAGTTTCGATTATGGATTTAATGCCTCGGAGTCATTTTGCAGCATTAGTATTCTTCAATTTGGCATTTCTTCCAATCTTGTCGCTTTAGTTATTCAAGCTAGTTTTTTCCCCCCCCTTTTTTCCGTGCCCTAATACAAACAATAATTAGGATAAATAGGATAACCTAGCTGTCTGACAAATGGTTCTCTGCCCATTAGCTAATGCACACAAAAAACACCTGAATCGAAAATTGGATGTATTGTCTTGGAGTTATTCTCCGCTTTCCCAAATAATTTATTTAAATCTATTAGGATCAAGGATCTTTAAATTGGACTTGTGATTAGTTCAGGACACTTTAAGCCAGGGAAGTAAAAAAATGGTCAAGCAGTAATCTAATTGGTCAAAGGCTGATAAAATTAGTGGCTGAAAACTAGTCTTGAACTGGAGGTTAAAACATTAATTTATTCATTTATATTTAAATAAATAAATGCTTATATATATAAATAGTATGAGTTTTGATTATAACATAATTTTTTGAACACTACTGCTGACTGAAATTTATTAGAATTTATAGGGTTTTACTATTTGTTTAATGATTAGTTTTACAGTTTTCAATAAATTGTAGCTAATTGCAAAATATTTGTTAAAAATAGTGTATTTGAGAGAATTCTTGCTGGCACTCCTTTTCTCGATTTCTAAAATTTGATGTGCATTTTTGTTATGTAAACATCTCTTTACAAAGTAGTTTAGAAGTCAATACTCTTTGTAGCCTTCTGATAGGACATTTGAAAAAATTAACGTGTTAGAATCATCTGCAAAAATATTCTACCCTCACCTCACTTGAAATGACTTAGCTGAGTATTTGGATATATTTTTTTTTAATACTTGTATGGAAAGAAAATGAAATAAGTATTGTTAAAATTAAAATTATTTTATGTAGAAGTATAAAAGCAAATTTAGCTTACGGGTGGTTTTCGTTCTTGTAACTTGAGGAAAAATTTAGTCGAACATTGTTATATTATTATAATCCCTGATGTATAGGTGTGCCCTAGAGGATGGGTACGACTTTTCTTTTTGGTGGGAAAAGATTGTTACGGTTATAAATGAGATAATTAAGCATTACATGTAGACTGCTAGCATTATACATTGATGCCAGACCATACATGCCTTCAAATGCTGTAAAATTTCTTAAAAAAACAGGCTCTTATACAGAATGATATTATCATATTTATATTTGTAGATATTTTAATCGTCATTTTTCGTGCCCTATCATTAACTATTGACATTTGAAGCTTCTTCGATTGTTGGTAACAATTAATCATCATAAAATTTTTCATGAATCTATAGACTTTGATGATTTCAAATAATCATCCATCCAATTGTAATACAAGCTCATTAGCATTTAATTGCTAAATTGAATAAAAAACTAAGAAAAAATACTATATAACTGGAGTATTTCCCCATTAAAAGTCACGATGGAGTTTGGTAAAAAAATCTACGCATAGCCAAATAAAATGGTAAAAAATATAGCTGGAGCGAAGTTCAGGAAACTAGTTAAACGTGTTGATTACGAGAGACTTGCATAGCCCTTGTTTATACGAGTTGTGCAAAGTAAACTAAATAGCATGTTATTGTTTTAAATTTATGATCTGGTTGTTTAAATTTAAAAATAAGTGTTCTTAAACAAGTGCTTTTAAAAGAAACTAATTTTTTAATAAGTAGACAACAGTTGCTTCCTAAAAAAAGCAGAAAACTACTTAAAAAATAAATTAGACAAACACATAAAAAGTAAATAAGTGTTCATTTTATTAAAAAAGTGCTTTTATAAGAAAAAAAATTTAACCAAACAGACCCTTAAAATGACAAAAAAAATATGTAATATATAATGATGAAATTTCATTTAGCAACTGGTTAAATCTTTACGCAATCTCTGGAAACTAGCTTTTCAGAAGAATTTCTCATTCATAAGAGTTTATATACCATTATACTATCAATTATCAAACAAGTATAAATCTTTGGTTAAGAGATTTCCGGCGACAAGACTAGTAAACATTTGCAGTGTGAGATTTAGATTAAAATTAAATGCCACAGGAAAATCTAATCTAATTTGCCAGCATTGTCTATTTTAGCAAAATGCAACATCTCACATGCTTTTGAACCTAAGAAAATAAACAGCACAAAATTAGTGCATGTTTACGATGAAGGTAGATTCAGCAGCAGTGAAATTGGCTTACAAAATATTTCATTAAGATTGTGAGCTGCTCAAAACCAAGCTTTTGAGGTGCAGCATTTGGCCCTCTAGAAGCTCCCTTTTACTCAAAATCCTATCAGATGCACAATCTTCTTCCTGCAGAAAATGGGAAGAAAATAGTAGTTCACAATCTATATACATTATTACAAATTTCCAATTATTCAAAATAATCTAAATATCGTGCGTATGTTTTGGAAACAGATATTTTTAAGAATATAATTGCTTTTTTTTTTTTTTCTTTCATAAACCCTCTCGAGAGCTTGACAAAAATAAGTGATTATTTCTTTAAAATAAAGTAAACCAAACACGTGCTGAATTGGGTGATCAAAATCCCCCTCCTAATAGAGACAACGACAGCCATTCTTCAAATTCTTGATTATTTGCTGTTAAGACAAGTTTTTTTAAAATAAATTAACTGAATAATAAAGTGTTTTCAGCTGGTACATCGTTCTTGGCAAATCTTAAAAAAGCTTTATGTAAAAAAGCTCATGCAGAAATCATAAAGGAAAAAAAATAGTTCTTAAAAAAGAAAACTGCGCAAGAAAGGTTAACTTGAAAGCACTAATCATAAAATTGAAGTTAAAAAAATAGCACTACTTTAATGTTTTACTTGAAAGAGAGACATAATTTTATTAGATTAAACTTGAAATACGTGAGAAGAATGCATGATTAGTAAATTACTCACATCACTGGGTGAAGCTGCTATTAGTGCCAAAAGAGTCACTGTGGCAGTTTGATAATCAGTTAAAATCTTGTACGCTGACTCGTCTAGCTTATCCTGACAATGAATACACATTAAAAAATATCAGGTAGAAGTACTGAATTGTAAACCATTTAATGGACCACATTTGCAGTCAACGTGAGCAACTGTAATCAGAATGGAAATAAATAGGGTTTAGGCTACTTCGTGTTTTAACTTTTATACACCCCTCTGACCCTTTAGATGTCTTATTTTAGGCTGAAAACTCGGCTGAGATTATTATTTACTGTGTGCATAGAAAAAAAGTTATAATTCTTAGGTTGGTGATGGCAAGTGAGAGTGAGTAGTGATCATATCATCATTATTATCCATAGTATGATTCGTGCAATCCAATTAACATATAGTTGACCTTTATATTACTAAAGCTTTCTTAGTTATGATTTGATGCATAACTAAATCTATCGACAGAAAGAACATACCTTTAAGTGGGAAATAGCAGCAGAAATGGCCCTTCCAGGGGCTTGAAGAGCTTTGTGGTAAACCTAACCATGCAAGTATCCATGTTTAAAATCGAAAAAGGGATGTGGGAACTGAACAAAAAATAAAAACTTACTTGGATATATAGTAAAGAGACAACTTTTGCCAGAAGTGATACAGGATCAGTCTCAGCAGAAACTTGAGATGTCAATTCCTGTTTAATAACAGCGGTAGAAAAGGCACACAGTTGAAGAACAATCAAATTGTAGGGTATCTTCGTAAAACTAACTGAAAGTTTTATGTGGAGTTGCATCACTAATTAATATTAGGGAGATTTCCAATTTAAGAAATATAGAAAAATATACCCCATATAAGAAGAATTAACTGAAACAATAGCAAATCACTGTTGAAAAAATTAACCACAAACTAAACACTAACGGATTAATTAAGCATAAATCTCAACTCTATTCTCCCGTTTGACTATCTTAGTTAGTCATGGTGGCAGCTAGCAAGCTTCCCGTGCATTCATAAGTATTTTAAATTTAAACAAAATTTATAAATAAAAAGTAAATTAAAGATGACAGTAGATTATTAATAAAGCATATTCTATTTTATTAGACAAGAATAAATTAAATACATAAGATATTTAAAATTAAGTAGAAATTTGTGAAAATAAATTATCTAAATGAATACATGTCATCCCCATTGATATGGTGTGTCAATCTTTATAATTTAAAAATTAAATTCAAATTGAGATTAACAAAGATTACAATGATTTTAAAACAGTTGATTTAAAAAAGCATATTGTCAATTTGATATAGACTATAAAGTTGCAGAATTCAAATCAAAACAAAATTAAATTTACGTAATAATATTTGAAAGGAATAAGAAATTATAACTAAAAAACAAAATTAAATATTCAATGCAATAGAAGCTACAAGGTTTAATGAGGGAGAGAGAAAAATAGCCCCTAAAAAACACTCTTGTTCAAGAGTGAGGACTCTATTTTATAACATAAAATAAATTATGAGCAACTTTAGGAGTTAATTTAGGATTATATCCATATAATTAGGATTGAATCATTGAAATTAATACTAAAACAAATCACATAGACACCTGTGACGAATGTCCAGAGTCCAGTCACACTTTATCCCTGCTCAAATTATTCTTAAGATTTCCTACATTCTCTAATTGAAAACTGTTCACCACAGCTTATTAAATTATAATTTTGCCTTACAATTGTTAAAAATAACTTATTCAATAATATTTCTTGCCATTCTGAAGTTTTACCAACTGGATAGTTTGAATACCACAATCAGCACGATCAATATTATTTGTGAAAGAATCCAGCCTCCAATAAATTCTAGTAAAATTTTATGTAAGTGTAAAGCATAAATACCTTACGATAGGAATGTAAAAGTGTTCTTTCTAGTTTCTTGTCAAGATTTTTCAAAGGCAACCCACTGGAAAAATGAATGATCAAACTATGTATTAGGGTTCACATCAGGACATGCACTAGAGATCAAATCAATGCTAGTTCTAGAAACAAAAAATTGACACATCACCTTTCTTCAGTTACCATTCTAAAAGCAGCCATGAATATCTCCACGCTCTGTTGTATTGAATATTCAAATATTAGGTACGATACTAAGAAATAAGACAGAATAATAAGTTTTATGTTCTAAAAGATATTTCCAGCCAATCAGCTGTAATTGGGAATTGAAGAGTGAGGTAAACCTATACAATGAACCTTGACAACGAGAATTGTTTCTGAATTAAAAATTCTAACCTTTCCTTCCAATGCTTCGACAACAGCAAGAGCCCTACTTGCAAGAGATCCTGGAAAACTCTTGCACTGAAAATGAAAATAAATAAGAGATTTGATTTGAAGTCATTCTACGTGCTTCTCCCAAATGATGATCTTCAGCAAAAATTAGACTCATACAAAATTTGACAGGCTAAAACAGAAGCAATGAATATAATTATAATGCCAAATAGTTCCTTATTCTTACAATTGCAGTTCTGTCTCCAGGACTAAGACACACAGATTCAGAATTTGAAGTTTCCTGCACCTCAAGTCCATTCTTTAATTTGTTGTGCTCGTCCTGAAGATGACAAATCCAGTGTTAGATTTGGACCTTATTAAACCACAAGAAACATTAAAAGTAACTCTTAGATATAATACCAGGTTACGAAGAAGAATATCCACCATAGGAGCTGCTACTGTCCTAAGTAAATGCCTATGCAAAACAACCTGGGCATCATAAATGAGTTAACTTCAATTTTGTTTCACATATGAAAACAACATTTTCAAATTTCAAATAAATTGATCAAACTTACAAAAGTTGATTGATCATCTTCAAATAACTCTAAAGCTTTTTCATACAGCTGCATGTTTAAGAAAGACTGCCAGAAAAACAAACAATCAACATAGGAAACGGTACATATATAAGGCCACTAATTTTACATGTCTAGATAAGTCTCCTTGAATGAAAGAAGAAAAAAATGTACATAAAGACATAACAATAGTAGATTTAAAAGAAAAAAAAAAATATACAACTTTAGTAGTCAAACCTCATCAAGTTTCTTCTGCAAATTATCAAGCAAACGTTTCATTCTTTCTGCATTGTTTGTAAGCAATGCCTTTCTTTTCTCCATCCAAGAACTGATTATTGTAGGCCTTAATTGGTTAGCCAAAGGCCTAAGAATTGTTTCAGGATCATCTATACCTATCATAAATAGCACTGTATTTGAGAACATTGGGTAACATGTATAGGGAAAAAATCATTTTTGAAATCTGAATCAACAGACCTTGTTCTTCGAAATCAGAAACCAATGTTGTAATTTTCTGCATGATCCATTCTTCCGAGGGACTGAGATTATCCTCTTTCATTTTAACTGATTCTTTCCTAGAACCTGTCTTTGTAACTGACATTTGTGAAGATGTATCCTTACCCCGTTTCTGGCTTTTCTTAGATTTTGTCGAAGTCTGTTCCTGGTTATCTGCACCACTTTCAGATAGATTTGCCACTGCATTCCCAGCGGATTTCCCCTTTTTCTTCTTTGATCCTTTATCAGCATGCCTGTTGGCACCACCATCACTTGCCATGATCTCATTGGACTCATTCAACCTGCTTGAATCATGCCCTACTTTAGCTTCGTTGGGTACTTGAAAATCACCAGGCATTGTAATTCCAGCAGACCCTGAAACACCTAATGTCTCCAATTCTTTCACAATACGATCACAGATGTCCTAGTGGATGAGTGAGACTGTTTAGCATCAGGAAATCCATAATAAAAAATAGTTGCAGATATATTTTTTTTAATTCAAAAGTAACTTCTAAACTTTATTCTTGGCTCTGAGCTAGAAATGAAAGAAGATTCAAAATACAAAATCAAACTCGGGCACATAGTAAATGAAATTAATCATAGAAAGAAACATAAAGCCCAAAAGGCTCATACATATTAAGCTAACATCTAACACAGCAGGCATTGCCACCACTATTTTAGGGTTCTCATTGATAGCCATGTTCTGATGGTGACCTGAGCAGTAATCTGTGGAACTGTTTATGCATGAAACTGCTGATCCTCTTGTAAACAAAATTCATAAATCATAACAAACATCTATCATCTTAATTTTTTATTCTCATTGGCAATACTAACCTAGTCTGTTAAACCTATCTTCAAACTGGACACTAGTAGTAGCATTTACACTACAAAATGGTGGTTTGTAAAACATGTAAAATTAAATAATTAATTTGACATTTATATGACTACATCAAATGCTAAAACACACCTTTATAAAGCTGCTACTCATCACATAAAAATCCCCAAAAATGTGTGCTTTGTGACACTGCAAAGAAAATGAAGTTTATCAACACATGAATCAACAGCGTTGAGCATAAATCTATAAGGTCGTTGAATATCACCTTAAGAGCATTTTGAACAGATTGACAGAGGGACAACATTTTAGATGCATCTTGAGGTGTAAAAGATGAGGGCAATAAGGAAAGAGAATCACTCCTGCAACATAGTTATATCAGGATACAATGCTTTGAAAAAATTGTTTTACAAAGTGCAAATACAGCTTGTTATAATTTTTGGTAACAGTCAAGAAAATTCTTGCCCTACATCTCACATAGCATAAGGATTCTCACCAAAATTAACCCAACTTACATGCACAAGTGTTTTTCAAAATTAAAAAAAAAACATATGGAAGAATCTAGTTCAGCAAAGGACTCTTAGTCATTATCATCATGCATACAAAGAAATAAATTTTAACATAACAAGCGCAACCAAAGAAGCTGGGTTTTAGTGTGAGGCTACCCCCCTTCACCAACTCATCCAGACCCCTTACATATAGTCATGCATATTAAGCATTGACTGATGCTAAGCAACAAGAAACAAATTAGATCTAACAAAAGGACATGTTATAGACTAATTTGCATATCTGTTTTTGCTAAGCCAATAAGTTATGATTAGGCAATGCGAAATTTAGTTTAAATGGGATAAATAGATGAGTAAAAATAGTTCAAATTTAGTAATCCATCACATAAGAAAGTCACCACCATGTAAATGAGAATAGTTCAAATTTTTTAGTTTATACTGTGCAATTTTAATGTGTAGATCAATTGACTAAGCCCAGTTTAGTAATGAAGAAAGGATGAAAACAGAAACTGGGGATAATGGGGTAAAAATGTGAAGGCACTTACCAGCTACCACGGTCAAGAGCATCCTCAGTAGAAGCATCTAGCATCTCAATCATAGATGGATGAACAAATGTTGTAACTAGAGGTTTTCCTTCAGGATATCTGGACTAAATTGGATTGCGCAAACTTAGGCTTCATTAACTAAGCTAGGGAAACAAGTAGTACAAAGTATTTATTTCACATATATCTATATCCTAATAGTTATTATTTAGAATAAGAATCAACATAGGAACAATTTAGCTACCTGCAAAAATTGAATGGGCTGGGGAATTCCAAGTTTGTGCAGAGCCTCATAGGTGATAAAAGAATTCTATAGCAAAGAAAAAAGATGGCACAAAATGCAGTAGTTCAGAATTTTTCTTTACCGAATAGAGATAATGAGAAGATAAAAGATGCAATTTACAAAGAATATACAGGTAAAAGATACAATTTGCAAAGAATAAATGGGAAAAAGCCAGTCAGTATACAAGTCCGAGCTAACAAACTTGTAAAGACTATATAGCATTGATCAATGGATCATATACTAGAAATAGGCAAAAGTTTTTGATATCTTGAATAAAAATGAAAGATGAGAGAAGGACAGTTCATACCTGTGAAAAGAATGAATCCACAAACTCCTTTTGAGCAACAGCAAATACCTGTAGTGTGACATAAGAAGTGGAAGTCATAACAAATACTTTCTAAAGACATAGGAACTAAATTTACAGTCCCAAGGCATATGCCAGCCATAGCAGTTGACTACTTCCACCCATAGGCACTAATGGCGGATGATTATTGATGGGAACTGAGATTCTAGTTAGATAGGAAAGGATCCATCAATGGATTGAAGGTAGTTAATTATTATGAATGTGTGTGAAATAGAGATAATTGATTCTGTATTAGAAACTGCATGATGGCAGCTATGCTTTGAAAATAACTGCTGCCTGTTATGTATTAGGAGTATATATTCGATAGTAGGTTGTGGAATTAGGAGGAGTGTAGTTATTTGCAGTTTGTGGACAGAGTATACTCTCTGTAGGAGACTTTTGTCTCTAGAACAGTAAGTGTATTGCTGAGTTATGTGTTATTTCAGTGTTCAATATCATATTTTATCAGTTTATCAATTGGTGTTCTATCAAAGTATCAATTATAGACTAATAAACTGCAAACGTAATGCACCCAAAGCATATAAAAATCCTCCCAGTTACTGCCAATTAGACATGAGGTAGACATGGATCAAGAGGAGAGCCTTTTCACAGAATCAAAAACAAACATGAAAACCACACTCCAGGCATCACTCTAACAATGCCTAAGGGATCTCAAAACACGCCACTTACAGCTGGTGTCCAATGTACTCCTGCACGAACCGACCCTAGAACCTGGCCTTCCTTCACAAGTCCATTAAACAACGACTGGAAGAAAGATCCTTCAACTGCCAATCCACTAGTTCCATCAATCTCTTGCAGCAACTGCTGCAACGAGCTCCACACTGCCGTCAAATTCGTCGGCACCGTGATGCCCCGTGCAGCGCCACGAACCATGGCACCAACACGAGCCACATAGGCAGGAGTATACAACTGGCCACCTTCAAGCCTTCCTTTCACCTATTTTCAAAATCCATCACTCATCAAAACACAATTCTCACTCTCATTCCAAATTCAACAAACAACAAATCCAATCCAACACACGCAAACTCACAATTGTTCCAAGGCGCGGCTCCAATACGGACGCAACTAAGTCCAAACCTACGTTCAATTGCGCCGCGAGTTCCGTCAGCGCAACCTGACTACATTCCTGAAGCCTCTCGTTAACCTCTTCCGCGATTGAGTCCCAATACGACTCCGACATGATTTCTCCTTGAGTCAACATCAGTTCTCGGTGCTCCGTTACTACGCTCTGAGCCTGCTTCTCCACGTAGAACAAGTCAACTCCAGTAGCGTCAGCGAGATCAATCAACGAAACGCGCCCTAGTTTCTTCACCTCAGACACCATCTCGTTCCTCAGTTGATCCTAACAGCATGCGCGAGTGCATTAATAAACGTTCGATTAAGATTAACAATAACACAGTGAACGAAGTGCGGAAACACGATCGATTATAAAATCCATTGGAAATGAAAATTGTTAACGGCGAAACTGAAACCTAATCGGCGAAATAAGCGAAGCGAAAAGAGAGCGTACGAGAGTGATGTACTCTTTGCCGGAGACAGTGTGGAGAAGCTCGAAATCGATGATTTGTAGTTGCTGTAGTTTTTGGACTAATTCGACGACGTTTCGCTCCGATAATCGAATGCTCGACTTGGCTTGCTGAGCGAACTCGAATTGTCGCTGCAGCTCGAGCAATTCGTCGTCCATGTTTGGATCTTCTTCACGCACGCGCAGAATATCGCAATGCGTTTCTCTTTTGCTTTTGCGAAGAGTTCTTCGGTTTGTAGTGACGACTGAAATTGTTTTAGGTAACACCCTTTTGTTGAAGAATTGGGATCACTTGCTATTCGATGGTATTAGCCTTTGTTTTTTTTACAGCTTCATAAATAGAGAAATATTATACGAGGAAGGAATATTTATTCTACTTAATAATTTCTATATTCAATTTTAATAATATAATTATCAAATTAAAACTTTTAATATAAAGATTAAATTTACAAAATTTTAAAAAAACTAAAATTTATTTAAAATTTTATTTCATTAATTTAAATTAATATATAATATTTTTATAATTATTTTTATAATTATCTATTAATTTGAATTAATGAAATGAAATATTAAATAATTTTTAAATTTTTTAAAATTTACAAAGTACATCTATATATTAAATTTTTTTAATTTAATATAAATTATTAAAAAAAAAATTAAATAAATTTATTTATATAATAAATGAATCTCTTCTCTTATTATGTGATTATAATAAAAAAAATTAGCATGTATATGTTCCAAATTTCCAATTGCAATTGGTAAGTTTGTTTTTTTCATAATAATTAACTTAAAAATTATATTAATAATAATTTCTTATGTAAAAAATTGTACACTATCTTATCTTTATAGCATATATGTTAAACTCTTAAATATGATTACTCTCTACAACTTTTTTAATTTCAATTTTAATTTGTAACTTGCAAAGTTTGTTTGAGAACTGTGAATTGATTCTTGACAGCATTTTGGTTTTGATTTTATATCAAAAACTACTTTTAATTTTTTTACTTAGGACACCTCTCTATTAGGAGTTAACGATTAATTTTTCAAAATATTGAAATCTGTTTTTTTTATTATTTAAAAATCTATTCAATGATTTGATTTGTTTGAACAGATTTTTTTTTATAAACATTAATCTAATAATTGAATTCATTATTACTTGTTTAAGGGATAAGGTCAATCTATCACATGATCACAAATCTAATAATAAATACCAAAACTTTGTCTTGCGCAGTTTTATCTAATTAGTCATGTTTAATTTTATAAAATAAAATTATATGTATTTATTAAAATTATATAAATTGAACACGTTTGATTTTTTTTTGTTGTTGTTAAAACTATTGTAGCCCCACTAGCTATTAGAGCCATTAACTTATCGGTCCGAAAAAAATTCAACTCGACTCAACTTCACATTTAAACTTAACTAGGATGACATGATTTGTCAACTTTACTTTTGAGTTTATCAATTCACATTTTTCTCTTATTATTTACTTTAAATAGAAAAGCTTCACTTATATAACTTATTGAGTTTTTATTGATTTAAATGATATTTAAGGCTATAGTTAATAATTTAAAAGAGCATTAACTTAAAAATTAACCTTATATTTTTATTATTTAAAAAGAAATGGTTTTATTATTTTAAAAATAATTAAATAAACAAAGCAAACTATCTCAATATATTAAAATAATACATAAATAAATATTAAAAAATGGTTTTAACATATTTAAATTATTTTTATTTATTCAAAGATATAAGTCGTTAAGAAAATTAAGTAATTAAATAACTATAACAAGGAGGTAATTTAAGAAAAAAAATTTACTATGTCTAAAATATATATCTAAAACATGACAAGAAAGAAAATATTAAAAGTATTTCATTAAAAAATAAGTGAGACTGTGCTCTCGTTTCAAGAGTACATAGGAAAGCATAAATGGTTTCAATATTTCAACCCAAAAAAATATGGTCAAACTAAAATATTCAACTTAATATCAAAAAATAGAAATTTTAAATATCTTTTTGTCTTCTTAGTCAAAGGAATTTTAACCAAAATTAAATACGAGATACTATGGAACTGATGGAGGAATTGGGTATGGTTCTCAATTCACTCTAACGTGTCTCACAGAAAATATGTAACAAGTTGAGTTTTTCTCTTGAAAGTTGAAACACGTTCATAAGTCATGAAGAATTGAAGATCTAATAGTTATTAGTTTTAAATATTCAGTATATGCAAACAAGCTAGGCGGTAAGTGGACATATTTTTTTATTTATCAAATTTGTTTGTTTAATTCATTTTACTTAAATATTTTTTTATAACTATGTTATTAATATGAGATATTCATTAGTGTTGTTTGAATAAATTACTGTTTAGAGTTTAAGTGAATATATATCTTCAATAAATACTTATTAGAGGTATAATATATATATTTTTATCTAATTGTGCTCTCCCTAACCTATCAAATCAATGAATGAAAAAATGTGAACGTTTTTGTTTTATCTTCTTTTTAACTTCTTTAATAGTAGCTCTTATATTAAGCAATGGGTAGAAATCTTCTTCGTGACAAATGATAATACAACTGAATACATAAATTAATTAAGATGATGCTATTTAACTTAACTCGTGGTTTCTTAGTTTCGAATTAAAATTTTGTGTACGTATTAGATTATTATTATTATTTTCTCTAAATCAAGTTAGGTCCACGAAAAAATTTAGAGCAAATTGACCTCCTATTTTTTTTTTTACAAATTCAAAAGTTTTAATATATATATATAAAAGATGGAATCTACTTACTTCAAGAGTAATTCTATGTAATTCAATTCTAGTTAATAATTTAACTATTAAATTAAAAAAATTTAATGTATAGATTAAGTATGCACTTTTTTAAAAAAATTTAAAACCTATTTGGTACACCACTTCACCAATTCAAATTTAAAAATCCTAAACAATTTGAATTAATAGAATAAAATACTAAATAGTTTTAAATTTTTTTAAAAATTTGCAAACTTAATCTATCTATCAAGAACATTTAATTCAACGATTGAATAATTAAAATTTAATATAAAATATGAGTTATTAAACATAGTAAATCAAAGTAGATTCACTTTTAGAATAAGCGGATTCTTTATATATATATATATATAT